GTCAACTTAAATTCATTTTTAAGGGCAAAATTCATCATTTTCCACAGTTTTTCATATAATGGCTTTATGGCTACGCGCCCGGAATATGCACACAAATCGAGGTGAGGTAAAAAGGAGGTTTTTAGGCCTCGAAACACTGAATTTGTTTCTAAAACAAGTGATGACTTTTTGGGTCATCACATCTCTGTGTTTAGGGCTTCTACGGTTACCCTTGCCAATTGAGCCGGATTCTGGACAATCAGCGTCACCGGTTGGCTTCCCTGGGTGAAATTGTAGGTTAATACCTGGCCCTGTAGTGCCACCTCCATCCAGGATGCCGATACGTGGTCCTGTGATAGTGGTAGCGTGGTGATAAGGGAGGGCGGCACTTGTTTTTTTTTCCATTCTTGTGTTTTTGGATTTACTACTTTTAGTAATGGGGGTGATTAAACTAATGGGCTGAGCCATTATTGTGACCCTTGATGTCAAATCTTGGTCAGTGGAGGAGGCAGTGTTATTGTGCCTGGGGAGGGGGGTTGTGAATTAATTAGGGATCTTGTGGAGTGGACGGTGAGTGTCTTTTCACCTGAATTGGAGGGTGGTTCCTGAAGAGGCACTTAAGTGTTCATGGTGACTATTGAGATTTCCCCATTAGAGGTTATCTCAGAGATAGTGGTAGGGGTAACGTAGGCGAGGGTGTAGGGATTGATTTTTGGGCTGACAGCCTCCAATTGCGTAGGGGCCCCGATTGGTTAGGCGTGACTGACCCCATAGTCCATCACCCGAAAGTTGGGGTCTGCTGCCTCGTTTGATGGGCCAAAAGTAGGGGCCTTTTCTTGGGAAACTATTTGGGGGTCAAGAGTGGAGGGTGTGTCAGAGTCTTCGGTCCCCGTACCAGGTTTTCTTTTTGCATTCGTTTTGGGCTGGGACCGCGTTGGAGTGGTGGCCTGGTAATGGGGATGGGGCTTTCTTTGTTTATTGGGCCATTGGTCCTGCTGTATTGTTTTGGATTGGGTTTGCTTGCTTTTGAATTATACTAAACAGTTTGAGTTTATAGGAACTTACCTGAGATTGCGTCGAACATATTTAGCGGCATTCATTGAGCATGTGTTGTATGGTGTTGGTTGTTTGACGCTTCGCCAATCCTTTCTTTTTGCTTCTGTTGGCCTTGTTTTTTCTGTCTTGGGAAAGTAATTGTTTTCCATTTGTTTTCTTCGCCTTGTTCAGTAATTTTTTCTGAAGTCTCTGATGCTTTGATGGTACGAATGGTTGTGGCTTCCTGTAGTTGCAACCTTTTGAAGTGTGTCCAATTCTGCCACATGACGTGCATAGTGTGCCTTCCCCTTCGTAGATCACTACTTGTTTATGGTCTCCGATTATCACAGATGTTTCTACTGGTGTTTCTAGGGGTACTTGGATGCATATGCGTGCGTACCTTCCTCTGAAGGTAGAGAAGGTGCATGAGTCTATTTTTAGTAGTTTGCCCAGCTTCCTTCCCACTTTTCCAATATTTCTTTGTCGTAGAATTCCGTTGGGAATTGTGGGAGACGATTCCAGATAGCTGTGGTAGCTAGTGTGGCTTCTTGTGGTACGAATTTAGGTTCCCATTTACGTATTGAAAGGAAGTTCCCAGAAACAAACCATGGTCCTAGGTGCAGCGCCTTGACCATATTTTCCTCTAAGCTGAATTTGACAATGAAGAAGTCCCATCCTAGGTTAATCAAGATTAACTGTTCGGATGGTTTCCATAAGTCAATTAGTTTAGAGCGAAGATATTGGTATGGCATTCTACGCCCAAATACCTTTATGATTATAGAATAACGCCACGGGAGGTAGGTTCCCATTTACGTACTGAAAGGAAGTTCCCAGAAACAAACCATGGTCCTAGGTGCAGCGCCTTGACCATATTTTCCTCTAAGCTGAATTTGACAATGAAGAAGTCCCATCCTAGGTTAATCAAGATTAACTGTTCGGATGGTTTCCATAAGTCAATTAGTTTAGAGCGAAGATATTGGTGTGGCATTCTACGCCCAAATACCTTTATGATTACAGAATAACGCCACAGGATATAGAGACGTTTCTTGTCATCGTGGGATAGTGGGATTGATCCTTCAATGTTTTTCCCTTTATCATCTTCGATGAATGTGGGGACATCTTCCTCATAAAATTCATTTTGCTCATTAGCCGATTTATCCGGTAGCATTCCTTGTAGGAGTGTGATTTTGTTGTGTCTTCAACGTCCGTCTGGTTGTTTTTATTCGGTGGTTCCGGTGGGATGGGTGTTATGATCATGGTTGTATCCATGGTGTCAGGGATTATTTTTAGAGAGAGAATTTTTAGTCAGCGAACTGTTCTAATCCACTATACATATTACATAATAACACAAAAAGATTATTTTCTTCCATAATTGTAAGTGGCCACATACATGAATTCTTCCTTTTACTTTATAAGTTAGTGGACCCATAAGGTCACTAACAACTAGACATGGACTTCTACTGGTCTTTGCAAAAGGCCAACTAATATTACGGACATGGTGTAATGGTGATATTCAAAATTCGAGGGCGTACGGTACGGTACAATACGGTGTTTAGATATTCGATTTCTTAAAATGTTATACCAATATCATATCTAATTAAATTCGGTATGGTTCGGTTATTCTCCATTCGATTTCGGTTTATTCAGTCTGGTAACTTCGGTTTGTTCCGTTTAAATACTATCTAGTGCATAGAGTCATAGACTGTGATGTTATTAATTAAAGTACAAAACTAAAAATGTTTGTTGATAAATTTTTTATCCAAAATCAGAAAATATCAACCCAAAGAGAGAAAATTGTACATAAAAATAAATATATTTGATCATTAGAAATGTTTTGTTACTTGCTTAGAGTTAATTGATGAACTTAGAGACTAAAGAAAAGTAAAATTTTAGATTTTTTATATTTATGTTATAATTAATAATATGTGTATTGTGTAATATAATACATATTTTCGTACGATATCGATATTTCGGTATTTCATTTTAAAATACCAAATACCGTACCTAATACTATTTTTTTTAGAATTTAAACCAAATATCATACCGAATACCATAATATCGAATACCAAATACTATTTTTTTTGAATTCGGTACAGTAATTCAGTATTTACCAAATTATGCACAACCCTATTTAGAATTCTGGTTAATTAGGTTTGAAGTTTGATCTCTGGCGTTGTTTATTTTAGAAACAAATTATCCCAATATTAATTATTTAATGATTAATTATTTTGAGATTAGTTATCCTCGCCTTATAAAAAAAGGAGTACAATTTCGAGATAACTAAGAGCCCGTTTGGATTAGCTTATTTGAAGTACTTTCTCCGTTTCGCAATAAGTGTCCAATTTGCTTTTTCATTTTGGTTCAAAATAAGTGTCCAGTTATGTAATCAAGAAAGAATTCAATTTATTTTTACAAAATAACCCCTATGTACATATCCCTAAAAAGTTTTCTTACTCCTCACATTAAATGTTTAATTAGAGGTAGTTTAGTCATAGTAGGTATTTTTGTATAGAATTTAGTATTTTCTTAATGGACGCGCTAAAAGCAAATTGGACACTTATTGTGAACCGGAGGGAGTAGCTCATAAGTATTATGTGCTGAAAAACACTTTTAAGTACTGAAACTGATTTAATAAATAAACAGTTACGTGTTTGGGTACAAGTGCTGAAATTGATAATAAGTTGCGGCAATATTTGATAAAAAAGTGTTGATAAGCTCTTTTTCTGTTAAAATGACTTAAATAACCTTAAAACTGTTTAAACTTATTAGGGCGTAATTTTTTCAAAGTTTTAGATTCTAGACCGATTCAAATACAAAATATTTTATTTATCATTTTATTTTAAATACAACAGTGCTTAGATAAGATAATTTTTATGATAAATATAATTTATTTTATGATAAGCATATAATATAATCATAAGTTATAATATAATTCCTGGGTATAGATCACCTTTGTTAGGGAGCGCTTTACCCTCAATGTGGGATTTTCCAGCGCGAATCCGGATTAGTCTGGCCCCAATGGGGATACCAGATACCGAGTGAGAAATCAAAAAAGTTATAATATAATTAATAAATTAACAAAAGTTTCTCAGTAAAATTAAATCTAAATAAGATAAAATATTTGAAGAGAAACAAACACGTCTTCATCACCACACACTTAGAAAGCAATACACCAAAAATTTGATATGTCCTCATTTATTACATACAGTTCAAAGATTAATACACAATAATATAGATACAAATATACAACGGAATAGACAATTTGCTTATCTTAAATAGTTATGTTAAAAAATACCTGAGGCAGTGAGTATCTATATAGGAGTTTTGTTCTAAAAATAAATATTTTACCGTTAAAATAATAAAAAATCTTGGTCAAACTTAAAATGCTTATAAGCTAAAAATTAATAAGGTGGGGTGATCATTTTATGACTTTTGACTTATAAGCATTTGGCTTATAAGCACTTTTAACTTTACCAAACTGTAAATAAACCAAAAAGTGTTTATAAACTAGTTTGATCAGTTTATAAGCTTAACCAAACACCCTCTAATTCCAATATTAATTAGAACATAATTTTATCCCAATCAAACATTCATCTCAAATTTAATCCCAAGATTAAGAGGGTGTTTGGCTAAGCTTATAAGCTGGTCAAACTGGCTTATAAGCACTTTTTGGCTTATCACGGGTTGGTAATATTAAAAGTGCTTATAAGTTAAGTGCTTATAAGCCAAAAGCCATAAGTTGGTATCCCCCAACTTATCAAATTTCAGCTTATAAGCATTTTAAGTTTGACCAAAATATTTATTATTCTATCCCTAAAATACTTCTTTTTAAAACAAAACTCTTCATATACCTAGTTCTTTAGCTGCATAGCATTAATTTTAGTACTTTTATCCAAATACATAACTGCTTATTTTCTAAATGAGCTTCGACACTTAAAATTGCTTTTGAAGGCCTAATGCTTATCGGCTACTCTAAAAAAGTAACTCTAATTCTTTTCCCTCGTATTAGCTCATCGTTCTTCGAAAGTCGATTCAGCAGCAAAATCCTTTCTCCTCCATTTTGGGGATTTAGGGTTCGGTTCTTTCTCCTGAAATGGCAAGCTGTCTTTCCCTCTTTCTTCTTCCAGTATCATTCTACTGCGAACATATGTGTTATATGAATTGCATCATTCAGTAACTCTTTTTTTAATTCCTAATTAATTGTGGAAACAACAAATTTATGATCTTTATGATTCCTTGCAGGCTGATTCTCCTCGCAAAAGGTACAAATCGGTTTCTCTAGCTAAGTTCCATACCTGTCTTTTTTATTTTTTTGCTGTATGTTCGTTGAAGCGCCTTGCTCCCACTCCGTCTTAACTTTCGTTAATTGCAATTTTTTATCCTTAGGGTGTTTCATCTGTTATTTCTGATTGTTTCTTTTTTCATTTTGGTTTGCTGTCCTTGTGAAGGGTGAATACATGACTAATTTTAAATGCTCTCATATGTGTATATACTAATTTGTCTATTTACCAAATTGTCTCAAGTTGACAAGCTTTTAGCTGGTTAAGGCAAATTGTCTATTAATTTAAGCATATGTAGCTCATTTTTTCTGTGTTAATGAGCTACATAGACAAATTTTAAAAAAATAGGCAAGTGTATGTAGCTCTTTTTTTATCAAATTAAAAACAACAATAATGTGTTATCAGGGAATAGTGGTAGCAAGTCACTGTCATTCATCCTATACATTTCTTTTGCAATGGAAAATAAGGTTCAACTTAAAGCAAAAATTTCCAAATGAAGTGTCTCACTATATGGTCTTCGTAGGTCCTCATCCATATTGAATAAAATGATTTTCGGCTAGGTCTTTCTTGAGTTTTGTGTGTGATCACGATAGAAAGTCAATCTATGGATCAACGTATAATTGCTAAGCATGTTTCCGGAGACATATATTCACAGTCTTAGCAATGCATCTCTATTATCTTTTTTTGTACACAAGTAAAATCTCCGATGCATTTTCTTTTAAGGCACCAACGTTACTTGTATTAATTTTCATGGAAGTTTTATGAGCTACATATGCTTGCAAAAGATGCCATCGTTACTCAAGGAACCATCTTAAAGACACATGTCGTTGTTGTCAAATTTTTTGCGGGTTCAACTGATTAGGACTGAACTGGCTCGATGTTGTATTTTCTGGACTCCCCAGGTATTCCCGCTCTCCTTCTCCTTGGGAAGAAAAGTCAAGATCTCGCTCTCGATCAAGGTCTAGATCCCGATCCAGATCATGGTCAAGGCCAAGAGGAAGGTCCAGGTCCAAAAGTCAAGGAAGGTTGAGTGGATTTTTAGCTTTACTCCACCTTCTTTATGTTAACAGCTTCTTTTGGGTTACTCTGATTTTTTCCTCCATGAGTTATTTAGGGCTGAAGTTTCTAATCCTGGAAACACACTCTATGTGACTGGATTATCTACAAGGGTCACTGAAAGGGACCTTGAGGAGCATTTCTCAAAGGAAGGAAAGGTTGGTTTTTGGTTTACATATTAGCAAGTTGTTTTCTGATTCGCCTGGTTCTGTTTCTGCAATATTTCTGTGCTCATACCAAGGTTTTCTCTCTCTCAAAATCATCTGTATTGTATCTACTCTTTATAATGAAAGTTTTTTCATTTATGATGATAATCTCAGCAACAACCAGTTTTTTTTGGAGTTTATTGTATGAGCAAAGTCTTGTCAATTCATTTGTCGAGACATTGATGTGTTGTGGCATTTTGACTGGAATCATTTCTCATTGTTTATACTTTTAAGACTTGCTGTTGAAGTTTCTCTTTTACTTTATGTTAACTAGGTGAAGTCAGTTTTTCTGGTTGTGGAGCCCCGTTCTCGTATCTCTCGTGGTTTTGCTTTTATAACAATGGACAGTCTTGAGGATGCTAACCGCTGCATTAAGAACCTTAACCAGTCTGTCCTTGAAGGCCGGTACATAACAGTGGAGAAGGTGAGCTACTTCTACCTTGATTCGTGAACCATGTTCTGTTGGGTTGCTTATCTGTTTCCATGACTTGGAGGTTTTCTGGCTATATTCAGAAGACATTACCTCAGCTGTGTTGGCAGCAATCAAAGATGATACAGTTCTTCCCTTGCAACATTATATTCACTCAACTTGATCAATGGCCCGCTAAAACAGCTTTTCACATGCATCTCATCAGCTAAACATAGCAACTATATTGCCCAAGAACTATACAACCTCAGCAAATACTTTCAACTCAACTAATCAACGGTCATTATCAACAATCTAATCAGGCTTTTATGGTATCTCAACCCGGCGATTGTTCTATCTCCATCTTTTTAGCTGTTATAAGACGTGCAAAAATATTTAAGCTGCTTTACTGTACGACTAGTGTGATCTTATATTTCTTAGTATTCTTCGTCAAAGATATAACATTTCTTAGTAATGGACATTGTTATGTGCTTCTGCCGCCTTCCTCACCATTATCTCCAGGTATGAAGAGGTACTTAGAAGACTTAGATTTTTGTTGCCAGAATAGTTGAATGTAATGTTCTTCCATTACAAGGAGCGCATTTCCTATTCCTGTTTGTTCTGGATGTAGACATCATATCAGATTTTAGAGAATAAGACAATATATCTGTTTTTCAGTCTTGAAGAAAATGCCGATGATTTGGAAATGTTATATTTCTTCCATTACAAGGAGTACATTATCTAGAATACAGTACCCGGTCTGGACAACCCATTTGTTCCTGTATGTTAACATCATAAGTTCAGATTTTACATAATGAAATAATATATTTGTTTTCCAGTCCCGTAGAAAACGCCCAAGGACTCCAACACCTGGTCATTATCTTGGACTTGAGAGCACACGGGGTGATGGTAAGCTTCTGATGCTATGTAAGTTCGTATTCTATCTTCTGACTAAATTATGGAATCTCTCAAGTTTTCATTGCTTTGGCCAAAGGTTATCGTGGTGATCGTGGTAGGTATCGTGACCGTGATGAATATGGGTATCGAAGACCTCCAAGGCGCTCGCCATATAGAGGTGTCCGAGGTTATTCTCCTGGGCGTTCTCCTTATGCTGGAAGGTCAAGACGTCTGCGATCCCGGTCATATTCTCCTTATGAGAGGAACTATCATCGTGGTTCTAGATAGGGGTTTCACAAGGCATATATTGTTAACTCTTTGTCGATGAAAACTGCTTGTAAGGATCTATAAGTTTGATGTGGACTAGAATTGAGGGTGTAAGGTGTTACAGTAGCAGTGAATGAATGTTGTACTTGTATGTGTGATGTGCCGTCACCTATCCCTATCATTAGCTTATTCCTGTAATGTCGATAAAGCTGTAATCTTTCTGAAGCTCTCCTTCGTTACATGTCATTTTGTTGTTGGCGTGGACTTAGCGGTGGTTTAAGAAATCTGTTGGTTCAATTTTTCCTGCCTAGTGACTTTCTGACGTGGTTTGGCTTGTCACGGTTATCGCCCTTGTACCTACGGACAACAGAGATTTGATTTTTTTCCCCCATAAGATAACGGTGAGAAATTAATTATCTCGTTACTGAATTACTTGTAGTTATGATCGTTCTGCTTGAACATTTCTCATAATATTTATCGTCTTTTAGCAAAATGTCTATGGTTTTGGCGTCGTTGAGGTGGGTTGCCAAGATTCTTTTCTGTGGCATGTACGGGTGGTTGGAGGTTGGATCATAAGCGGGATTATCAACCTCTGTGTGTAAGCAGCAATTTTACCCCTGAGCTTGCGACTTGGATTACTACTTTGAAAAAGAAAACGTACACTTCACCTTCTAATTGCTTTCTGGTATGTCTTAGTTGAACGGTCGAACCAAATAGTGACCTGAACGGCCACTTATTTCGTTTATAGCCTTTGTTGCCTCTAGTAGGAGACGGAAAGAAGTAGGCAACAAGAAGAAAAGAAAAGCAACGAAAGTTGAGGCCGAGAATAGCGAATAGTGAGTTTTTACCATAGGATTTCACGTTAAAATGTTGGTGTAGTTTTATAGTTTTATTTGTCTCTTGGAATATTTTTTGTGACATAACAATCAACGGTGTTCTTTGGAAATGTGGCCTCCTTTATCCTTACCATTGTACCTTTACCACAAATCATGCATAAGCACCAATTGCAGGCACCGAGAGTGAGTTGCATGTATGTATCCTAATAAAAGTAATTACAACCCATATTGTTAATTGCAGGATGGTCCAACTCCAACCCCACTTGGCATTTGCATCATTCTGTTACAAACATAAGGATCGACAAGCTTATCAAGTTGTTGAAACAGCTTTCCAATGCTCATTAGTTAATCAGACATCGAACACAGCTGTTGAATATAGAAACGACAGATATATAGTAATTGATTCGATATGCTTTGCCTCTGGCTAACTCTTGTGTTTACGAGCCCGAAATTTCTTTGGTTTTGAACTCAGTTTAACAAGAAATCTCATATAGTCAACAAGAATATCCTAGATTTTCTAATGAGCACATCTAAGTATTTAATTTTGTTGACAAATGTCGATTTTTCACTCTATTTAAACTGAATTCGTTGGTAGAAAATGTCCCGGACTTGCATAATCACGAATTTTTATGAGAATAGATGGACTACTCTCATAATGTTTCATATTTATATGACCTTTCTTTTAGTTAGTGCATTCAATATTCCTAACTTACTAGCCCGACTCGAACTTACATCGTGTAAAGTTCACTGTAACGGGTAGCCTACCACAAAAAGTTTTTTCACTCCCTAAGCTTGAATCAACATCATACTGAGTTATTTATATGGCCTAGTAGTTATTGAAAGAATCAACATCATCTCATCTGGTCATGAGCTTTTACTATTTTCGCAACAGCTTAAGCGAGACCCAAGTTAATCAAGCGAACGCTTGTGAACTGAAATTGTTATTTCAATGTTGGAATTATATTTTTTATTTTGAACAGACGGTTTTTAATATAGAAGAATAAGAAAAGGAAATTATTATTATTATTATAAAAAATAAATACGAAATGCTTCAACCAGCCGAGTCTCAGGAGCATGCGATGCACGTTGTGGCGAGCTCTTGCCTTTGCTGGATCATGTGCTCCTTCCCATTTACTTTTGTCCAGGAGCTGCATTGCTTCACGCCAACCGTTTCCTTCACATGCCCTCATCACCGACATATGTGGAATTAATTTTATTGAATATTTAAATCAAACGTGTCTAAATAGAGTCAAATTTCTGTTAAAAATTCATACAGTCTATTTAAACTAATTTACAATTGAAATTTAGCTAGCGCTGGAACATGGTTTTGATTGAAACTTGAAAAAAAGTATTTTAGAATTTTTTTTTGAAAGTTGAAATTGTGTTTGTTTGGACATATATTTTATTTGAACAAAAGTTGAAGTTCTCTGAATGTGGAAGAAAAATTTTCACCCAAAAACTATCCTCAACAAAATTTTGGGAATTTGAAAGAAATTTCAACTTTTTTTTTTTCTTCAAAAATACATAATATTCCTTGAACAAATAATATTTTCTTAAAAAATTTGAATAAAGTTATACCAAACGGTAGCTTAGTGGTTTTTTTTTAGGTATTTTTATGTCACCCACGTCAATATGCGCTTGTCATGATACTGAAGTGCATTTTGCCAACAAGAGTGTTGACCTAAGAGGATCTTATCTTCTCGGCCTTTCTTTTTCCAACACGTTACAAACAAATTGACAAGAGAAATGATATAAACGTGAACACTCAACTTTAGCACGATTCCTTAAAAAATGGCAATTCGCAATTTATTTAAAAGTATGAAAAGGATTAAGCTTTATGCGAATTCAAATATGACATAAAAACTGTATATCAGTAAAAAATACACAAGAAATTCATAATTTTCTAATAAAAAATATCTACGAATAGCAACATGGTTAAACTATAGTTTTGGAATTGGGAAAGAGCTTCTCTTCCCCTTAGTATTCTAAAACCACTCTAACATCAACATCCTCCATTCTCTCGCCCAACAAGAAAGCGTCGTCTTTTTTCACCTAATTTTGTTTTATCCAAAATATCCAACCGCCCCCCCCCCCCC